GCCGAAGTATTCGAAATCTGTGACATTTTCTATTTCTCCATTTTCGATTGTGATATGTGGTTGGTGTGCTGTATTAACTGAGAACACTATTTTTGTGTATTCAATAAAAGATTGACTTCTTCGCTGTGCTTTTTTGACGCTCAGAATACATTTTTCTAAACTTTGTAAACTGTTGGAAAGGAGAACTCTGTCGTCTGCATATCTGATCCCTGGGATAGGATTACCTTCAAATTTGTAGTGGATCAAAGCACTCACAAGCCTCATCGCTAATTAGGTTCATCATACCATTTTCAGCATATATGTTAAAGAGGGAAGGAGAAAGAATGTAGCCCTGTCTTACTCCTTTCTGCTCTTAAAACAACTCTGATGTTTCACCAGCTACCACTTCTCATAGTGTTGCACACAGTCAAATGCCTAATGTAGTCTATGAAAAAAGTATGAAGCTCTATTATGTATTCTGAATGTGCAGTGCGCACTACAAATGGTCCAACTGACTGCTTTTTTGTGGAAACTGGAGAAACAAATTTTCATTCTATTTCCTTTGTTGTTTTTAGTAGCTGTTGGATGGGTAATGAAATAAATGTTCCAAATGCAATACTAGCATTGAATGGGCTTAGAATTGACAACCGTAAAATCTGGATATGGCAGATGGTATTGCTCTGTTAAGCAAAAATAACAAAGACATACAAAGAAAAAAAAAAGACAATTTGTCGTCTACAGTATAAAAAAAAATAGGACTACAAAGAGAAAACCAATAGGTTAAAAGATACCAACAACAGACCAAAAAGATGCTATCCTACAGAAAAAACCAATAAAAGAAACGGACTATTTCACTTATTTAGACTGCAGTTATTACTCTCTAGGAGACACAGCAAAGAAAATAATACGCACTGGAAAAGCAATTAGTGTTTAACTGCCTTAACAAATATGAAACTCCAAGTTATACAGCTTTAAGACCCAACTAGGAATCTGCACTTCTAATGTAATTTCAGTTGTAACGTATGCCAGCGAAAGTTAGAGAAACATTAAAGATGTGGAACGCAGTTTGAATGCATTTGAAAATAATTGTCTGAGATAATTATGAAAATAAAATTAGATGAATTAAAATAGAATGAGGTTATCTGAGAAATAATTGGACAAATATCTGTATCGACCGCAAAAAGACAAATAAGGTGGATATATATTTGGCACACTCTGAGACGAAATGAGCTAAGAATTACAAAACAGGCATTGTAGTGGGAAACAAACTGTCTGAGAAAAAGAGGGCCTCCAAGGGAAACACTGAGAAGAACATTGTTACGAGATGCAAACAATTCTGAACCGAACACTGCCACCAGCACGATCATCTCCTGACTTAATCTAGTGGTCAACAAATATGGTTATAACATTAAGACCTTCTAGTCAAGAGTCGATGCGTCCTTCGGGTGATTCCCACTTAGGCAGAATCTTCTGACACAGACCTGTACGCAAGACTTGTCTATATGTGGTTCAGGGGAAAAGTTTGCAATTCACGAATGCCAACTTCCCATACGTGAGGCATTTTATTGCAGAAGTCGCAATGTCATTTACGCCATCAGCTGCAGGTCATGTGGCATGAAATACATGGGGGAAATGGGTCTAAGACTGGCTGAAATATTCAGAAAATATTTTTTGGTTGTGCAGAACGGGGCTCTGAAACCAGTATGGTTGCACTTCAAGTGTCAAGATCATAAAGGTGTGATCGACATGGAGGTGACGGCAATTAAATCTATCCACTCCAGCGACAAAGTCCATACGTCAGTGAGAATCGCTGTATTTTCACCTTAGGAATACAAACACCCAGGGGACTAAACTGTCAACACGATTTAATCTAATATCGTCAAATTATGGCTCTTGGCATTCACAGGCTTTTACTCCTAGGCCGCATTTGACTCTTCATTCCACTGGCAAGACATCAACGTGGCTGCTTTGGGATATATCAGTAAAGTCATTCGTGGTATTTGTATGGATTTGTTTGATTTATGTATGTGCTGATGAAGACTCTGTAGCTGGAAAGTTCACTTTTCGTTGGCGTCTTTTAATATTCTGAAAATCGATGATCTATTTTTCGTTTTTTTTTAATATCTTTCCCACCAATAGAGCAGAGTGCAGGAATCGAATGCGAGTCCTATATGACGTCACACAAAGGATGATGATGACGTCTTATCTTTTAAGTTTTAAGGTCACAATGTGTGCTATATTTAGTACTCCGTGGACAACAAAATTTGTTCGAAACGTTCAGTTGTATTTGTGCGCTTAAAAAAAAAAAAAAATTAATTTCCTTCTGTAAGAACTATAGTCACATTTTATAATGTATTACTTTTTTTAAGGAGTTTATTATCATTGTAGCAAGATCAAATACTATCCCAAGCACTACATCTCAGAAGATCAGCTACAAGGGGACGGCCGCGGAAAAATTGGATTGACAACATTAAAGACACTCTACTCCTTCACGGCATGACAATCGCCAGTGGCAGCAAAAGTGCACTGGATCGCAAATTAATCCCCCCCCCCCCAAGACGCTTAACGGCAGAAGTGGTTTAAGTTGATGAAGATGATGATGATGATTATCATTATCCCTTGTGCACCGTGGTCGTAAAAATGGTCAGCTACTTTACTTATGAATAAATCAGAGCCTTGTTCTAAGGTGAGTATAGTAGAATTAATACACAAGTTAACTGAAAAGCCTTTACAAACAAATATATTATTAGTATAATAATATATATTATTATAGCAATCGACTGGGTCATGCGCAAGTGCATAAATAACGCAAATTTAGGCATTACATGGGTTGACAAAATTCTGGAAGACCTAGACTTCGCTGACGACATAGCACTCCTGAGTTCAGAATACACAGACGCCCAAGAAAAAATCAATCGACTCCAGAATTTCTCAGAACAAATTGGACTCCAAATTAACACGGCAAAAACAAAAATTCTAGACCTTACCAACAGTTCAGTTGATATCACGCTGAACAACAACAGCCTTGAAAAAGTCTACAGTTTCACTTATCTAGGGAGCAAGATGTCATCTACAGCAGATACCGCACCAGAAATACCATTTAGAATAGCACTGGCATCTAGTGCCTTCAATAAACTGTCCAAACTCTGGAAATCAAAGACACTTAGCAAACACACAAAACTCAAGATCTTCAATTCTTGTGTGATTCCAGTACTAACCTATGGATGCGAGAGCTTGAAATCAACGAAAACTCTAGACACAACATTAGACAGTTTTGAAAATAAATGCCTTAGAAGAATACTAAATTTCAAATGGTCAGATTTCCGAACCAATACACAAATAAGGCAAGAATCCAGGCAAGAGTATGTGTCTAATTTTATACGAAAACGCCGCTGGAACTATGTCGGCCACGCCCTTAGAATGGATAAATCAAGACTTCCTTACCAAGCCCTCATTCGGACACCACAGGGGAAAAGATCTCCTGGAAGACCAAGAGAAACCCTACGTAGAACTATCACCAGCGAAGGCTCGCTCATGGGCCACTCAAACATCCAAGACCTACAACAGATTGCAACGTACCGCTATGCATGGAGAGTCATGACCTCTGCCCTATGTGCCGCACTCGGCACAAAAGGAAAGACTAACTAACTAACTAACTAACTAATATTATTAGTATTCAAATCATAATTTATTTTGTAACTGAGTATAAAACAGCGTCATCGTAATCTAGTTTGTTGCCGTTTGCCAAGATCTCAAACAGAATTTTCATTTTAAGCACAGACTCATCTCCATGCCTAGAAACAAGTCTGGCAAAAAACATTTCTTGTTGTCTGCACCTATACATCTATTTCATAAATCCTTCCAAAGGCTAAAACATTCTTAGCTTTCCTTCTCCTGAAAATAGAAAAACAGAAGAAAAAAATCTTTTTCGGTTTTTGACTCATTGACAGGGTGAAACAATTTACAAGTTAAAGTCGTGAGCATAGGTTTCATTGCTTTGGTTTTTATTTCTTATTGCTCGGTCTCTCCTTTCTCTTAACAATTATCTGCCTATCTATGTGCACACAGTACGAACTCTGTAGCTAAAGGGATGATCCACAGTGATCTCCGTAAAACATCACACGGGTAGCGTACGACAGAATCACTTAGTCAGGGAGGCCTATTGACGAAACTTCTGTTTTCGAGTAATGAAAACAAAAATGTTCTAGAACTAGCTAGGTATAATTTAGACATATCGTCTTTGTTGAAAAACTAGCATATTATTATGTTTCTTTTTTTCCTACCTTTGATCCAAAACCGTATTGACTGACTGAAAATAGAACACACGATAGCTAGGAATTGTCATCAATAATAACAGGTGAATAATGCACAACAATACGTGCCACACATAGAAAGTATTCAATCCAAGTAAATCAAGATGATTACATTGCAGCAATAATTGTTTGTTACTATACACGTGTGACTTAAAACATATAGTCGCTTGTCAAAATAGGCATCATTACCCTTGACATGATGTCATGTACATGCTTATTTGTCCATGACAATAAAGAGTCAGTCAACAATATTTGTTTACTAACAAAATAACATAAAACAATTATAAAGTGCTGTCAGCTGACATTTAATTATAGTACATCTGCAAATGCCGATTGGAAGTGCGCACTATATGTGTGTGTGTGTATATATATATATATATATATATATATATATATATATATATATATATATATATATACACACACACACATACACACATATATACACATACAGTTATTATGCATTTTAGGACTAATACTTTATTATAAATTTTTATTATTGTGCCGAAATAGTGTATATCCCAATGATGCTTGTAGGTATATATATAAGTTGTGTATTGTGCTGTTTCTAGTTACAGCATCATATATTTGGAGACGTACAGTGAATATTGCTTAATGTTGCACGTTCTTCGAATTGAAATATTTACCAATTTCAGAATAACCATTAAAACCAAACTAAATATGATTTTTACTGAAACAGTTATTTCAATGAAAATAACTGAAAATACCTCGGAATCCCTTCCGAATGCTCACGTAATCAAAATACACGTGGAAAGAATGCCATTGATTAGTGCTGAAATAACACGCATCCTTCACTGGCTTCTGTACGGGATACTGTGTCAGGCAATCGTTATTTTTGGAGTCGTTAGCAATGCTATCAATATGATCTGTTTCTTTAAGCAAGGCTTCAGAGACCCAGTCAACGTTAGTCTTTTTGGTATGTATGGAGTAAAAATAGTAAATGGCTTGTTTCATCTGACTGCCAAACAGCAGGATTGTGAAATGTTTGTATCAACTGAGAAAGTTAAAGAAAGAAAAAAAAAACATAATAAAGTAAATAACCTATTCTACGTTATTAACTCATCGAGAATATGGAGATCAACATATATTAAGGCTAAGGATTCGTTTTGAAGTTTATTATGTGATCAATAATTATGTGCTCTAGAAAAAATTATAGCCAATGATTTAAAGCTATAGCTGTAAATATTCACAACTGAATGGAGATAAGTACATCGAGCAAACATTATTTCATTTCTGTCGGTATGGTTTCAGAATTCTTATAGGCAATGAGATTGCATTGATTGGACGAAGTGCTAGATTTAGGCAGAAACTAAATAATCTAAAGCTTAGGGCCTCAAAATCTTCAGGCGCTAAACAATTTCTTGTGATTTAAAAAAAATTTTTTTTTTTTCATTTAGTGTTAAATTTAGAATAACTTTATTTTAAAAATATAATCAATGCATTGCATTTTGAAATCCAGATAAAAACCTGATTTAATTTGCAATATAGAGCTTTTAGAGGATTATATAATATAAATGATTTTGCAAAATATATATTGTTTCTTTTTAATGCAAATTAAACAACAGTAGATTTAAATTGGGCCTACATTTATAAAGCGTGTACATGATAAAACTGTCGGAGAATAGCTGGTGTGTGTGCGATTTTTTTTTTGTTTTTTTTAGAAATATAGAGGTTTTGTTCGGATTTCAGGCGCATCAAGTCTAAATCTGAGTAACAAAAATATTAATAGTAATCGCCTTCCTTTGCATTCCGAGCATGCACACGGGGGCAAAATAAATAAACGGTTCACGAAAATAAAAAGTTTATAGTAGTTGAAAGTGTGTGTTTGTGCGACAGATAAACAGGCAGACAGACAGAAGGCAGGCAGACAGATAAACAGACAGACATATAGATAGATAGATAGATAGATAGATAGATAGATAGATAGATAGATAGATAGATAGATAGATAGATAGATAGATAGATAGATAGATAGATAGAAGATAGATAGATAGATAGATAGATAGATAGATAGATAGATAGATGATAGATAGATAGATAGTATAGATCAGATTATAGATAGATAGATCGATAGATAGATAGATAGATAGATAGATAGATAGATAGATAGATAGATAGATAGATAGATAGATAGATGATAGATAGATAGATAGATAATATGATAGATAGATAGATAGATAGATAGATAGATAGATAGATAGATAGATAGATAGATAGATAGATAGATAGATAGATAGAGTTAGATAGATAGATAGATAGATAGATAGATAGATAGAATAGATAGATAGATAGATAGATAGATAGATAGATAGATAGATAGATAGATAGATAGATAGAGAGATAGAGAGAGAGATAGAGAGAGAGATAGAGAGAGAGATAGAGAGAGAGATAGAGAGAGAGATAGAGAGAGAGATAGAGAGAGAGATAGAGAGAGAGATAGAGAGATAGAGAGAGAGATAGAGAGAGAGATAGAGAGATAGATAGATAGATAGATAGATAGATGATAGATAGATAGATAGATAGATAGATAGATAGATAGATAGATAGATAGATAGTAGATAGATAGATAGATAGATAGATAGATAGATAGATAGATAGATAGATAGATAGATAGATGAGATAGATAGATAGATAGATAGATAGATAGATAGATAGATAGATAGATAGATTAGATAGATAGATAGATAGATTAGATAGATAGATAGAGATAGATAGATAGATAGATTAGATAGATAGATGATAGATTAGATAGATAGATATATAGATAGATAGATAGATAGATAGATAGATAGATAGATAGATAGATAGATAGATAGATAGATAGATAGATAGATAGATAGATAGATAGATAGATCAGATAGATAGATAGATAGATAGATAGATAAGATAGATAGATAGATATTAGATATATAGATAGATAGATAGATAGATAGATAGATAGATAGATAGATAGATAGATAGATAGATAGATAGATAGATAGATAGATAGATAGATAGATAGATAGATAGATAGATAGATAGATAGATAGATAGATAGATAGATAGATAGATAGATAGATAGATAGATAGATAGATAGATCGATAGATAGATAGATCGATAGATAGATAGATAGATCGATAGATAGATAGATAGATCGATAGATAGATAGATAGATCGATAGATAGATAGATAGATCGATAGATAGATAGATAGATCGATAGATAGATAGATAGATCGATAGTTAGATAGATCGATAGATAGATAGATAGATAGATAGATAGATAGATAGATAGATAGATAGATAGATAGATAGATAGATAGATAGATAGATAGATAGATAGATAGATAGATAGATAGATAGATAGATAGATAGATAGATAGATAGATAGATAGATAGATAGATAGATAGATAGATAGATAGATAGATAGATAGATAGATAGATAGATAGATAGATAGATAGATAGATAGATAGATAGATAGATAGATAGATAGATAGATAGATAGATAGATAGATAGATAGATAGATAGATAGATAGATAGATAGATAGATAGATAGATAGATAGATAGATAGATAGATTTATTGTAAATTGTCCTTAAATTTAGTATTCACAAATAAATCCACAAAGCTTCGTAGGGCCTAAAATGAGATATTTACTTTGTTGTGATAAAAGTCAATGAGATAGAAATATGCTCTTTAAAACCTATGGCAAAGATTATCAGGATACTAAATGGACATCGGATAGGAGTTACTTGTGTTTCACTTAATGTTAGGGTGCTTCGTTGTTTCGAGGCATTGTGTTTTCCTTGAGTGCTGCATGTTCTGGGTTTAATCCCAGGTAAGGGCTGAGATTTTTTCGAATGGACTTGGACTTCTGGTAATTCCCTCTTGTGGCTGGTTAGTGATATCGGACGCCCGTGTTCATTGTTGGGCACGCAAAAAAAAAAAAATAATCCCAGTTGCAAATTTAAAAAAAGGTAGCCTAATGGAATGCTTTGGACAAATATCAAGTTAAATATCTAACAAAATTATTTCAGTATCCTCGCCAGTGCTACAGAGCTAGTGCACTGGGCTGAACTTCTTTGATCTCAGACTTAAGTTAGAAGAAGAACAGAGCACTTATGGCTCACTAACAGTGTGCCAAGTTGTTGATCCGTTGTTAAAATACATCAAACCTCACCTGATGTATTTTGCAGTGTTTTCAAATTTGTGTGCGTTTGTGTCCAACAGGGCTTGCCGTTTCTGACCTTGGCTGTCTGCTATCAATAATGTGGTCCAATCTTTGCTACACTCCAGCATTTCAAGATGCGGAACTGGCATTTGATCCATTCGAACTGCAATACTTAACTGGCGGGTATGTTTTAACAGCATTTTCGCGCATCACTTCCTGGATTACAGCCATCATCACGTTGGAACGGTGTCTGTGTATAACCATCCCTCTAAAGGTGTGTAGAAATGTGTGTTTTGTTTGAACTGACACTCACTGTCTAGACACTGTCTTTAGAGGACAGAAGCCAAATAATCACGACAGCGATTAGATATCTTAATAGTATGATATGTGTAGCCAAGAGCGATCGAATTTGGAGCTATGATATCAGGAGGGAATTCAGCACAGTGCCAAAACTGAACTTCATCGGTAGCAACAGATCAAATGGTTTGGCCATGAAACAAGACTGGAAATAGACAGAGCACCACAGAGAGCAATAATAATAAGATACACGAGTAACAGAGTCAGGGGTCGAGCGCGCAGAAAATGGACCTTAGAAATATTAGAGACACAAAAAGTGCCGTCTACGAAGCAAACAGAAAACCCATTTAAAGATTACTTCTTGTTCTGATGCTGCGAAACATTCCAGGAGACGATAAAAAAAAAAAAAAAAGATGTTACACGATCTTTGACATGTGCAGATATCTCTTCTGAAGGTTCTCAGAAAATCATTGATCAAGAAGAACATAAATATGTGCATACCAAAGCATATGAACATCTGTAAACACTGGCACCTAAAGAGCATCTTATTTCGGAAAATTAAATTATTGGGCCACGGAGGACAACCCAACCTACACTAAAAAGGGACAGGACACCTTCACAGTACCGTGACTGAGACAAGAAAACTGGCTATTGATAGTTTTTTTAAAGGCTGGTGCAGTGGTAGGCTGTAAAGGGAGAGACATTTTGTAAAGAACATACAAACATGACGGTGATGATGATCAAATGGTTTTTAGTTTTCCTTTTTTGTGAATCCCAGGCAACAGTTATTCATTCTATATAAACCAAGTGCACTGGCGTTTAAGTGCGCCCGCAGCTTCAAACTATATTAATAATGGGAGCATGTATATGTTTCTCTTGTCTCGATGCCAAAGTATTCTAATTCATGGCGGCCTTATTCCTGAGCTCTTATTCTAACCTCCGTGCTCAGAAACAAATCGGATGAGCTAAAAAAATATTTACGTGTGGAAACATACATTAGGATGCAAAGAGGCCAATAAGGCACATTAAGGGATTTCTGAAAACAAAGAAAAACTAGATGGTATGTAGTGAAACATTTACACGTTAAAGATTTTTCATTGTCCACATATTGCGATACAATGTCTAAATTACACAAAACATGTCTAACTGGTGTGTGCTAATCTCACTGTGCTGTTTAATTGTACCAGGCGTCTAAGGTGTGATCGCCTACGCTGGTCGTGGAGGCACTAGATTATGATGATGATGGTAGAGGTCAGTGCGAAAGGTCCACACGGGTAAATTGTTGGACAAGGCTTTCTTGAGATTAACGGCTAACAGCAATCCTAACGGGGATTGTGAAGAACACGAAAGGTTGGCGAGAGTGTGAGATCCACGTCTAACCACGTGGAAAGAGTCCCAGGGTAGACCTATATTTTTATAGACCACTCGGCACAAAGAGAGTGATGTGGTCAGCATCATGCCAGCCGCCTTTACTTCCTGAGACTACACCCGGCACCCACTCAAGGCTGGGTCGACTTGGGAGCCAAGGTCATTTTTGAAAAATCCGGCTCTGCCAGGGAGCGAACTTACAGCCACTTGTCTAGCAGCTCGGTGACTTCCTGTGCATGTATATATATATATATATATATATATATATATATATATATATATATATATATATATATATATATATATATATATATATATATATACATTTTTTTTCTCGCTTTATCAACTGTTTTTTCTCATCCAGGTAAGGCACATCTTCACACCAAAGCGAATGATTATTATCACAGTTTCAGTCTTTCTTATGCTCTCAACTACGATTATACCCGGGTGTCTTGTCAACCGCATGGGTAGCAAATTCTTTTCAGCGAGAAACAAAACTCTAATCGGAAATTTGGTAGCAACAAATGGAGCAGTAGTTGAAAAGATTACTTTCCTTTTATGCAACACTTTGCTTACATTTCCAGCATTTGTAATCATCATCGTCTGCACAACAACGTTAGTTTACAAACTCGGGGCCAATAGCAAATGGAGAATGGAATCTTCAAAGTCTACACAAGCAATCAACGCCTCCAGTCGTAACATTAAAGTTGCAAAGATGGTCATCAGTATCGCAGTTCTCTTCCTGTGCTGCTATTCTCCACTAGCTATTTTTTTCATAGACATGACTTTGGAGCCAAAGCTGTCGGTTGGGGGAGAATACGTGAACACACTTACAGTATTAGGAGCGGTCTGTATACTGATGGAGTCGATTAATTCATCCTCTAATATATTTATTTACTTTCAGATGAGTACAAAGTATAGAGCAGTGCTTCGAACGCTTTGTGGTAGGCAAATATAATAGTTTTGTGTTTCAGTTTATAGGATTCAGCTATATGCTTCATTTCAATCAATTGTTACTGTAGTATGCACCTGACGAGATGCAGCGAAATACGTCAGGCAATAAATTGTGCAGACTATTGTTTGTGTTTTGTTTGTTTAAATTCACATCGCGAAAACTGCTCTGATTTACCGAAATGTTGCTCCCACAGTTAACTGTAACGCGACTGGATGGATTTTTTGAACTGAAGTGCAAAATCGCAGTACAGGATTGACGATTACGGTTTCTTGGAAAATGCCTTACAACCGGAATATTTACTCACTGTTATCTTAGATTGCTGAGAGCTACGAAAATCTGCCAAACGGTACGAAATTTGAGGCGAATGACGAAAAATTATATAGAGGAAATCCAATCGAAATTATCAATCTAAGGCGAATTCATTCGGCCTACAACATTACTAACGAACTGGCTCTGTATTGTTATTTAAAGCTCACATAATTTTGTATTGAAACAGTAGGTAAAGTGAAAATTCAAGAAACGTTTAAAGAAGTCATTGAGTTCAGAAAAGATCACCACTTCCGTGCTCGACAATCCCGAGAAACATGTGATCAATCTATCTTCGTTTACACTCAGTAAACTGCATACTGAAGCTCTCGCTTACGGATTAAAGTTCTGCATAAAACCAAAACAAATCAACACCATTGAGTCACAAGCTCGATTTGAATTGTTTTTTGATCAGCTGTCGACATTACCCTCGTCGTCTATCGATTCGGTTGGTTCGTGTAAAGCTAGATTGGCAGATTTGGAACATCAGTATCGCATATTCTAAGCAAAAGTGTCCATTATCTAATAAGCATATTATTGCTATGAAACACAAAAATTAAAGCCAACGAACAATTAATAATATTGAAACCAGACAAAGGAAATGGTGTCGTTTTGAGGCACAAGTCAAACTATCAGACCAAACTGGAGGAAAAATTATCAAAAATACTCAGATATTCATTTGAACTGGCAGAATTACTAGACATAATGAATGTAAAAGAAAAGTACATGGCATCAATGAATGTAGCATCAATATTTACAAACAACCCTTGGAAGAAACCGTGAAAATTATATGTGACCGTATTAAAAAAAAAAAAAAATCTGCAGGTAGGTCTATCTATTTCGAAACTTGAGGAACTTTTACTGTTGTGCACTTCTAACATCCACTTCAGTTTTCTTAGGCAGTCTTACCGCCAGATTGACGGCTTGGCCATGGGAAGCCCTCTAGGCCCTATTCTAGGGGACATCTTTATAGCACACCTGGAGGAACAGATGTCCTTTGATATTGATGCTTTAGTATTTTATCAACGTTATGTTGATGACATACTTATCATCGCCACAAGCAAACAACAGTCATAAATACACCACAGTGTCTCTACAACATGAAAGTAGCAACACCTTGGCTTTTTTAGACATTTTAATTAAGCGTAGAGATGATGACACTATTGAAAATTCAGTTTATCGTAAAGACACTTGGGCAGGCCAGTAAATCCATTTCAACGGTTTTGCACCTATGCAATACAAAAGTGGTCTAGTGAGGACATTATTCCACGGTGCTAGGAAGATTTGTTACAGCGACACGCTACAAGCTGAGTTTGAAACGATTAAACAAACACTGCTTTCTAACGGATATCCAGGTGGTTTTATTAGGCGCCATTGCCAGCCACCTAAACCAATTACCTTAGAAATTTGAACAAAGAAGACACAAACAATAGACTGCACAATTTATTGCCTGGCATATTTCGCTGTATCTCATCAGGTGCATACTTCAGTAACAATTAATTAAAATGAAGCAAATAGCTGAATCCTAGAAACTGAAACACAAATTCGAGTAGATTTCAAACTGTTTCACCAAGGTAAACGTAGGGCAACGACCATTTCCTTTTGCCTACAAAGTTCCGGTTTCAATCTGCCAATCGCTGAAGCTTCCGCGTATCGAAGTAATCTACGGTTAGCCGAACTGTAAATAATTCGGAATGCATCATCCCTGTTAATGATGTGCCCGGAATTTAGAATATGGCACGCAATTGCTGATGATGGATTATTTCGACAAGTTACCTGATTCGTTGTTGTTGAGGTGTTAGTGTTCTGCATTGCTTTTACCAACCATAGTGGAATATGTTCAGCAACCCGTTGTTCCAGTCGTCGATCAGTTCTGCCCACATATGCAGCGTTACAGGTGCATTTAAATTGGTATATACAGTTAGATCTGGCGTACGTCGACACTGGTTCTTTTACTGGTGGTGTAGGAATCCTGGTGGTTTTAAATCTCATAACAGGCATGGCTGCGTAAAAGGTTTGACGGACTGCTGTTTTGAGTCGGTCATATATACGTTGCATGACGTCGTCTCCCCGAAACGTTAGATGTATATAGGCTAGTTTTTTTGGCACCGACATTTCTAAGGTAACTGGTTTAGGCGGCTGGCAATGGCACTTAATAAAGCCACCTGGATATCCATTAGAAAGCAGTGTTTGTTTAATCGTATCAAACTCAGCTTGTAGCGTGTCGATGGAACAAATCTTCCTAGCACGGTGGAATAATGTCCTCACTAGACCACGTTTGTATTGCAAAGGTGCAAAACTGTTGAAATGGATGTATTGGCCTGTCCAAGTGTCTTTACGAAAAACTG